TTCCTAAATAAAGAGACGATTTCGTGCAATACAAGCAGTAATATTCTGAGAGAATTCCATCCGAAGACCCCCAAATGTAGAACTACGTAACCTCTTTTAAGTCGATTCAAAAGGTCACGTCTGAAGGCTGTAATTATTGCTTAATTTCGATCAATAATTTTTATTTCGATTTATAGTAATTGTGATCGACAACCAACTTTCTTGGAATGTATCGCTTATTTCGTTTAGTCCGATTTTTCAACTTTGTCTAGGTGACTCTGGTTATAGTACCAATCTTGCATCGCTTTTGTGTCAGTCAGTGATATGTTGTTGCTGTTTTTTTTCTTGCTTTCCCCAGAGGTTTACCAGTATCAACGATGTGCTGATATCTTGTGCTCGCCGCTCGTTAGCTTACCCTCTCTATCGACATTGGTCCCTGGTTGTAGCAGTATTGGAGGACACCAAAAAAATATTCTCACTTGGTAAAGTGGCTGTTTTGTGACCATTTGTGTTATCTGCAAAAGGACGCCAGTGTTGTAACTACAATGCGATGGATCCGTGGACTTCCGACCCATAGAGAGAGGGGCATGGGCGAGGGGGGCCGAGTGGGGCCGAGTGGGGGGGTAGGGGTGTGTAAGAGCGGCTATCATAAACAAACATTTAGAAAGTCCAAAATTGTCAAGATTTACGCTAATACCTCGCAAATATCAAATATATTGTCAATCACAAAATAGCAATAAGCTATTGAAACTGGGCGGGTACAAAAGTTTTGAGCATTTCCCTTATTGCCTCCCTTGATAACTTACTCATTCCTTTTTATGTATTATTATTTTCTTTTTTTTTTTTTCTTGTACTTCTCGCGTTCTGCTCGTCACTATTTTCCTTCAGCAAAATTCAATCTATTTTGTGTTTCCAAGGTCGCCGGCAGCTGTTGAAATGTCTTCTGGAAATTCATGCTGTGTGCCGTGAAGACGATCCTTGGTATCTGTTGAATGACCTCTATATCACGGATTACTGTGTATGGATACAGAAAACAAGGTTATAATTTGCCAGTTTATTTTTATTTTCATTTATATATTTCAGCATTGTTTGTTTCTTACACTGTGAGCATCATCACTATCGTCATCAGCATCTGTCATCATCATCATCATCATCATCATCATCATCATCATCATCATCATCATCATCACTATCTTTAATGATCAGAATTGGCTGTGTGGGGATCAAAACTTCACCCAAATACCAAAATGCCGCACGCAGGCTTGGAGATCAGGGGTTATTATTGCCTGAAGAAATGTCCAAACCCGAAACACAAAACCCAATGATAAAGTGCTACTGAGGGATCATGTATTGAGCTTGGCTTGCAAGCCTTTCAGACACTTAGTCAGTTGTTTTTTGCTCCGAACGAACGTGCGCTTTGTTAATGACACAAGGAATATCTCTGAAAACTTCTTTTGAGGAAACTTTGAATGAGTGATTACTGGGACCTACTGTTTCCTCTAAGCGGTGAAACACTCTCGCTTTAACTGTTCTCTCGGAGAGAAATACCCGCAGGGTTAGTCTGCTGGCTGATTTAATGTATTAGGATTTGTTTAAATTTGTTGTTTTCTTTTTTGTTTGTTTTTCTTCCCAGTCGCAAGAAGCTCTCTTTTCTAGCACAAAGCCTTGAACAGGTATTATTACTTAGTTGATCGTTTTATTAATTCTTACGACCGTTCCTCTTGGTTATGTGATGACTTCGTTAGGAGAAAATTGATGTTCCTCACTGTTGGGTCATATACCTTGGCAGGCGCGAGTTTCCCTGTCTTGCAAGTAAAACACTCCAATGCGTTTTGTAAAGGAATTTATGAAAACTTGGCTTCCCTTCAGTTGCTGGGAGGCTCCCTCCACGTAAACAGAGTTTGACCAAAGAAACTCCTCACATAGATTTTTTCCTTGAAGAAATTAATCGTCTTTGACTTTTTCGTCGTAGATTTTTTGCAGTAATAACCTTACTTGTGTCAGTCTAAACATTGAATTTTCGTATATCCTGGCTATATGAAAAAGGCTGGCTCAACTCCCTCCTTAATTTTCACGCAGCCTAACAGCCGAACTCTGAGAGCGTCGGTTATTTTACGGAGCTTATGTGACGCGCATTTGCTCCGTTTTCTTTGCCGTACAGGTTGAAGTTCGTAAAAGAGACCTGCCTTGGCAGTTAGAGGAACTGGAATTAGCCGCTGCTTTGGTTGAAAAAGAAGACCGAAGCAACCCTGAAGGCAATCATCCTGAATCTTTTGATGGTCACAATCAACTGCGAAATGAGAATGACGATGATGATCATGGTGGTGGTGACAATGATGACGACTACGACAACGAGGATAATGATGATGATGATGATGATAATGATGATGATGATGATGATGATGATGATGATGATGATGATGATGATGATGATGAAGATGACGACGACGACGACGATGATGATGATGATGATGATGATGATAATACTGATGATGACGACGAGGGTAATGATATTCAGAGCAAACATGTTCACAGCGACCATAAGGGTGATAAAAATCAAATTGAGAAAACTCGCAAATTTGTTAGTGACTCTGGTTTGGCATCAGAACTTTTAGAACCATGCAAAATTTAAGACATATTTTTTTTTTAAATCTTTTCATTTATTTCCAAACAATCTCTCAAGTTTAAACGAATCTCGTCGAGGCTGGGATTAATGTGCCACAGTTCTTTCACCCATGCATGCAACATACCGCTCGTGCTTTCTTAGACCACTAGTTAGTTTAAAGAAATTAAAGTTCTCGAAGTGTGATGCCCACGACTGTCCCGATTGACAGAGACTACAAATCGTTTTTCCCCGGCCACGAGTTGGAACTGACATCCGAGGGAGATACATAGCTCGGCTACTCTGTCTATATCAGAAGATGTCACAACTGCTATTTATATTTTTAACATTTTAATTGCTTATATTTTTTATCAGTTTATCTTAATTCTTCTTCTATCTTATATATCTATCTTATAAATTTATTTATTATTTTCTGCCTACCGTCATCCGCCGTCCGCCGTCACTTCTTCCTCCTCTTACGGAGTCCTGCATTTTTGTCGGAAATGGTACGCAGTACAACTCAACGTTGTTTACGTTGGCCTAGGAAGTCCACGGTTTTGCCAAAAAAAGGGACCAATTTAACTGGCTTTATGGTCAATACCAATGTTAGTTGCCAACGTTGTTTGATGATACGTAACATTTGATGTTGAAGTCTCAACTTCGATTTATGGCGGGATTGGTACGCCTTTGGTAACTCAACAACCACTCTTGAACTTGGTGATTCAAAGTTCATCTTTCGCGAAAAGCGCATGTATCGAGAGCAATGTTGATTTGAATGTTGATGGACATAGTTTAATGTTGAACTCTCACTTACAAAGTTGAGGTATAAAGTTTTGACGATTGCGTCAAGAACTACGAAGTTGAACTTCAAAGTTGAATGTTGTGATCTACTTTGATTTTTGGCGGGATTGGTACGCCTTTGGTTACTCAACAATTAACTTGATGATTCAAAGTTCATCTTTCGCAGAAAGCGCATGTATCGAGAGCAATGTTGATCAGTAAACTTGAATGTTGATGGACAAAGTTTAATGTTGAACTCTCACAAATAAACTAAGTTGAAGTCTAAAGTTTTGACGATCGCGTTAAGAACTACAAAATTGAACTGCAAAGTTGAATGTTGATCTTTGTCAAGTCAGATGTTACACTCTCAAGATGAATGTTGTGATCTACTTTGATTTTTGGCGGGGATGGAACTCCATACCCCGGAACACCCCCCGACAGGCCGGAACCCCCAGCCCCCCGAACACTTTTAAATACAAAAACCAAAAAACCTACAATATAAAGGTTACCTAACGTAACGACTTCTAATTATTCTAAAAAGTAGTCCGTTGCCGTTATTCGAATAGTTACTAGCCTTTTTGTCTGAAATATGGCCAGAAGAGCCGCTACCAGAGTCGAGAAAAAAAATAAACCAATTAATTCGCCTTTTTCACATAATACACGTTGTTTAAAAAAAATTGTATAAGCATTGTTTTTTATTTCTCTTGGAACGACTGTAATATCCAAGAGAATTAAAAAAACAAAGGTTACGCAAAGTTGTTTTTTTTTTTGGGGAGGAACCAGGTGTATTATGGGAGATGTACAAATGGAAAATAAAAGAAAACGGTTAAATTAGACCCAAGCGGGCGGCCCAAAAGATTTTCACTAAACAATTATTCTACCCAATTTAATGTCAGCCGTGTTCGAGGAGTATAACTTGTAAATGTCAATTTCAGCTCTGAAGCACACCTACCAGCTCCGCGGTATGGCCTGTACCTCGCTTGCTATCTAACACTTATCTTTCTCGCTCTTTAAACACTCTTCACGACAAGCGAGCCACCAAGGAGCCACTTATGCTTAAGACCTTACAAAATATCGCCCTGTATTAATCTGTATTTGCTGCGAAAAAATCTATTCTCGTAAACGTTTTCAGTCAAAGGGAAATTAAATGAAAGGAAAATAATCCTGAAGGTTCTTGATCATTCTTGATCAGACCGAACGCCCCTTCTAATTGGTGCCAAAAAAGCTGCGCCTTTTCATTTACCATGATAATAATAATAATAATAATTTATTAACAGTTCTGGCAGTTAAAAACTGAATAAACAGTGCAATGTACAATTGGATACTAATAATTAAGTCTATTTACAATAATAAGTATTACAATAATAATTGGAATCAAGAAAACCTAAAAGTAGAAAAGTCATTTGCTCTAATTTGTCCTTTTCATTGGTGTAGTGGTTTTAGTATTTCCTGATGTTAACTGATATGAGATAGATCTTGACTTAACTTGCGGAACTAGGAAAGATATGGGGTGCCTCTCATTCCTTATATCCGCCATCAACTTCTTACCTATGAATATCCTGCGATCTGCTAACGATGTCAAATTTGCGTGGTCTAGAGCTTGTTGATAACTAGAGTTCGGAAATATTATTCTTAAGGCTCTTCTTTGTATAGATTCAATGGCGACAGAAAAACTGTAGGACTCGGAATATCTTGCCATACTTGCGCAGCATACTGTAAGACCGATCTGATATTATATGCATGTGTATACCTTGAGCTTGTCTTCTGGCAGTTCTTGGTACAATCTCTAAGCCGCCTTGGCAATTACATTTTCAACGTGAGCGTTCCATTAATTTAAGGCCATCGCTAATTATAACTCCTAAAAGCTTATACGACCCACTCGCTCTACTTCTTGATTTCCAACACTTATAGTTCGCATCGCAGTAATCGAATTCTTCATGAAATTTACACACATTTCTTTACATTTGTTACCACAAGTCATACCTCACGCCATTCGCCGGGGGGGGGGGAGGGTTGTGGATGTGCCGCTGGATGGGGTCGTATTTTCACGACTGGATTGACTATAATGGGGTCGCGTTTTCAATATAGGTACTAGAATGGGGTCAAACATTTTCTCATTTTTGGGGTAAGACTGCAGGTCTTCATACTTAAGGTTAGCAAACGTACCAGAATTTCTGTACTGTAGGTGAAAAGTAAAGTGTTCTTCATACAATATGCATACGATATGAGGTAGATAAATATATATATAGAAAGTGACTAAGGTGGGATTGCGAAAATTACATATTTGCCCAAAAGTGACTAAGATGGGGTCTATGATTGGCCACAGAATAGAGTACAATGGGATAGGGGCTCTGAGAGGCCAGGGGCACATACCCAGCAACAATTAACCTAAGTATCCCTCCCCCTGGGGCCATTCGGCCTTACCGCTTTCAATCGGCCCATATCCATCTATGGATGTTTGCACACACGTTGCTCGACCTCGACTTCAAGTTACGAAACACTGGAATTTGATGCTTTGATTAGTATAAGTAATAGCGTGATTAGTAGTGATATTTGGCATAAATACCACTAGTGATGTTTCGAAATTGTTATACGTAATTTCACGAGCCGTCAGGCGAGCATCCTCGGAGACCCAGGGGCAGTTAGTCGGGTCGATAAAATGTTCGTGGTGAAAGTTTTCTGTAAGATCGAGACGAGCCCCTGGGCACTTTCATACTCTTACCGAACCAGTTCCAGAGGCGTTTGAATTGCCTGCTTCTGATTGGCCAGAAAAATTTTTTTCTGGCCAATCAGCGAAGAGAAGCTGCCGGGTGACTCTTGTGTTTTCTTACACGACGTAGTTTTCCTCATCGATCGCCATAGTTGCTTAGCGCGTTCAACGGGGAATGTTTCTCGGGGAAAGTTTCAGAACAAAATGTTAACAACCTGCAAAAATTACAACTTTCAGCACGGCTACAAGAAGCAAACACTCTCCGATGAATTTTTAAGGCGGATCTTTCCAAGGTATCGTAAATCTTTATTGCTAATACGATACGCTATATATTACTTTCACTTTATACACCTTAATTTGCTCACATTGTCTAGTATACAACGCCAAGCTGACATTTTAGATGTCAATGTTCGTTGCACGACTTCTGAAACTTCCTACAGCGTGAAAATTTCCGTTGCACGGGCCAGGCAACTACGTCGATTGATCGTGGGAAATGCCAGCCAGCTGCAGTGCCTTCTTCTTGCTTTCCCTCCAAACTCCTTTCGAAACTTTTAAGCTTAAAAGCTTACAGCAGTTGACCGTACGAATTCGGCCGAAGTTGATAGTAGTGTCAACCAGCAAGCGCTTGAAGAAGGCTTGTCTTTGTTTCCGGTGGTACAGTTCAAAGCGAAGCAAAGATTTATTATTGAGAAGATTGTGGAAAGAAGAGATGTTTTTGGGAAATTGATAGAAGAGTGTAACCTTCCAAATGTTGCCTATAAGCTTGGGGGTTTAAAAATCGTTAGATGCTAAAGGTTATGAATTCCCCAGTAATCCACTGGTCATAGTGATTTTACCTCTCATGTCAATTATTGAGGACCAGGTAAAGTACTCGAGGTCACTAGAAATTCAGGCCACTTACTTAGGGGAAAGTAAAACGAAAGATCGAGAAATATTGAATGGATAGTGAGCGTTTTCTTTGTTGTACGGAAGCCCGGAATCATTAACTGGGGGACAAGAAATTCAGGGCAATGTTCTCTATGGAGTTTTACCAGAAGAATCCCTTTGCAGGTATGTACAGCTGTTCATTGGTAAGTATGCTGATTTGTTTACTAGGAAGGGTGCTATACTGAATTCATTGTGGGGGGTTCTGAAGGAGTAAAATGGGATGTTTTGCTCTGGGAAAATGGGATTTAAGTCACTGGCAGGGGGTAATCTATCACTGAGAATGGGAAAAAATGGGAATTGAGGGTTAAACAGTTTCAATGGGATTGATATCCCCCCCTTCAGGACCCTCATTATACTTAACAGTAGATCTGGCTTTTATTCAAGGATGCTCAGTAATCTTATGTCTAAAAGCTGACAGACACTTCACAAGAATTATCATGTTTTTTGTCACCATTTAATGACAATTGAAAGCTGATGAAGTACGCCTTGTGACTGCTTAAGA